GAAAGAAAGAAAGAAAGAAAGAAAGAAAGAAAGAAAGAAAGAAAGAAAGAAAGAGTTGCCATATGATCCAGCAACTCCTGGACGTGTACCCACAAGAACTAAAAGCGGAGATATGGACAGGGACTTGCACACCCATGTTCACAGCAGCGGAAAGGGTGTATACAATGGAATATCATTCCGCCTCAAAAAGTCAGGAAATTATGACTCGTGCTACAATTTGGATGAACCTTGAGGACATTAGGCTTAGAAATAAGCCAGTCAGAAAAGGACAAATACTGTATGATTCCCCTTTCTGAGGTATCTGGAGTAGTCACATTCATAGAGATGAAAGTAGACAGGTGGTTGATGGGGGCGGGGAGGAAAATGGGGAGTTAGCGCTCCATGGGCATGGCATTTCAGTTGGGGAAGATGAAGTTCTAGAGACGGCTGGTGCCCATGCTTGCGTGACAACAGGAGTGTTCTCAGTGCCGCTCAACTGTACACTTAGAGTTAAAATGCTAATTTTACGGCATGACTATTTTACTACAATGGAAAAAAAACACATTCACAATATACGTGTCAAGCCATTATGCTGTTCACCTTAAACTTGAACAGTGCTGTACGTCAATGGGGTCTCAGTGACACTGAAAAGAACCACCACAGTGTGATGTGTGCTGTGAGAGAGGCAAGCCCAGGGCCTCTGGGAGAACAGAGAAGAGGTCATGGGGTGACCACACCGAAATTAGTCTGTGGGACAAGTAGAGTCAACCACGTGGAGAAGCGGGGGGAGGCAAGGGATGGGAGAGACCACCAGTCCATTCTGTCACAAGTTGCCATCGCTAAGATTTCTTCCATCTTCATGGCTATCGGGAAGCCTGGGGACCTGGAGTAAGGGAAGGGGATGAGGAAGTGTGGATGAAGGCAGGGAAGTGGACTGAGCTCTTCTAGGGATGAGGGAGCAGCCATGTCCAAGCTCCTAGAGATCTACCCAGCATCTAACCTGCACCATGATTAAGCCCCTTCATGGTCAGCGAGGCCCCCCCAAATCATTGCCAGGATTTGGAAGATGAATTGAAGGTCTTTTTCTCCTGCAGGCCTGTGAAAGTGTGTGCATGAGCAAAAGTAAGGGCTCTTCCTGAATGAATCCTAACTCCAGACTAGTGTCAAACGGGAGAAAACAAGGAAGGACAAGACAGGGGACACAGACTTCCAAGCAGCAGCCAAGCTGACCTGTTTCAAGGTTGTTGAGGTGCTATTTGTTTCCCAGGACCTGCAGAGGGGCCTGTGGGAGACACAGACAGATGACCTAAGTCATGTCCTTCACTGTGCTCGAGAGAAAAGCAGGCCATAGGGATGCTGACAAAGAGCAAAGAGAAAAGACAAAGACGTAACTTTTGGAATTTAGGTCTGTGTTTCTTGTCTGTGTCCAAGAGTCAAATTTCCCTGAGTTCAGCAGTCTGGGCCCCGTTCCTCTTCCGGGCCCTTCTCCGTAATGTCACACTGGTAAGAATAAAGGAAAACCAAGGCCACACTGTCCTCTGATTTGGACAGGCCCAGAGGCCAGTCATAAGTGTTTCCCTCATGACCCAAAAGAACTGATTAATCCCAGGAAACCTGAAGTCCTGCTTGGGTTTACACCACTGCGCAGGGACATGGCAACCGTATCAAGCAAGATGGCCTCCGCCCAGAGGCACCCAGACCTCCATCAACAGAGTCTGAAGGTAGCTGGCCTGCCCAGGGAAGGGCCTGTGCTCTGGCTCTCCTTCACTAACTCCCCCAGCAAACCCCCAACAGCTGTTCACCCCCATCAAACTCACAGGAGGCTCATCCCAACAGCTGTGACAGACTCCTGCCTCAGAAAGGCCCCTGGAGCCATCTGTGGCCTCCACCCTGTTCTGCCCTCCCGCCGGGCTCCCCAGACACATGTCTCCTCTCCTTTGTGAGGAGCAGGGAGGATGTAGGATGGAACTGTGGGGGAAGGGCCACAATAAGGCTCAAGTTCCCATTTTTCAAAGGTCAGCCTGGGCACCTGTAGACCATCTTTTTCAGACATGGCCTGCCAGTGCCCTGCACACTGCGAAGGGCCAGACACTGCCGTTCCCATGAACGTGTCCAGGAGACCAAGCCCACAGACTGCCCCTGTCCTACTGTCCCTGGTCTGATTCTGAGCCACCGGTCCTTCCATTGATGTCACACTTGCTTCTTTCCATCCTGGGCTTCCTTCCAGCTCTCTAACTTTCCTTCGTCTCTGTCACGGGCTCACCATGTCCATCTAAACCACAAAAGGGTGGGATCTCGTCCTTGATCTTTCTCTCTTCTCACTCCTTGAATAGCAGCTACCATTCCTTAAACATGTGCAGCTCCCCGATTCTTATTTCTGGTGCCGAGCCCCCTCGTGAGCATCACACTCTCCATACCCACCCCAAATCTGACCCCTGTCCACGTCTCAAATTGAACATACTCAAATCTGAACTCCCCTCCCCATCAATCTGATTCTTCCCACAAGTCCCTCCTTGGGCGGCAGCACACCTACCCGATCACCCAGTTTTCCAAGCCAGAAATGTGGGCTCGCTGCCTCTGACTCCTCTAACTCTTACAGCTAATCAGCCCACAGGTGGGCTCCTCCCTCCACCTTCCCGGCATCTGGGCCAAAGAATCTCACCTCTCCGTCGCCCTCATCCCTCCTGCCCATCCTCCACAAACTACCGCCCAATCCATTGGTTGACTCCCTCCTCCTCAACTCCAGCACTCAGTTGGCCTCTGAGTCCTGGAAATTCTATCTCCTTGATGTCCCCTCACCTCTGTTCCCCTGGCCAGGACCATAGTTCAAGCATCACCATATCCCTCAGGGAGCAGCTCCTAACGGGCTTTGCAGATCCAGCTTCTTCTCCAGTCTGCCCTTCGATCTGCCCGAAGAACCACCTCTCTAACACGCATGCCTGGTCGTGTCGTGCCGAGCTTTCTCGGGGGCTGCCCTAGCCTTTGGGAGGAAGGTCACACTTCTCAGCACAGCACTCAAGGACCCAACTGGTCTTTCTTGGGACCACCTCCCAAGTTCATGTCTTGCTGCATTCCCTTGGTCACTGTCCCCTTCCAGCCAGCCACCCCAAGGGACTACAAATTTCTTTGCTCTTCTGTCAGATCATGTTCTACTTCCATCATAGCTTTTTGTACCATATTCCCCTCGGGCTAAGGAGCCAGGAGTCTGGTGGAAAATGGAACAGAAAGTATGGCAGAGCCCAGACCCTTGTTTCAACTCTACATTCTGCGGAGTCAAGACTCTACGCCATTGCTTGGTCTCGTCCACAACCCACTCTTAGAATTTTCCCCAGAGATGCCTTTGGATAACCCCATTTCCTCTTGAGTAGACCTGTTGCAATGCCAGAAAAATGCAAAAAATAATGATACATGCTCTCTCTGTAGTCCCTCTAAGTTGGAATTCCCCTCGTAACTGGTGGATCTAGCTGAGAGCTGGGCCTGGGGCAGGCTGCAGCGAACATCAACCGACAATGAGCCAAGGAGCCAGGCTCTGATCTGGTTCAACACCAGAAGGTCAAAGTTAAAGAGAAGCACCAGGGAGAGCTTGATACTTTGTCCCAACCAGACAACAGGCATAATTTCTGTGAGTCTGGAACAATGAAGGCATAATGGGCCCCACAGGGAGGCCACCATCTATGAAGTAAACTTGAGCAAACGTCACTTCAAGGATACATCCCCAGGATGACAGCTTCAAGGCATTTGATAGGCAAGGACTCCCGAGTCATTTCTTTCGCTGTTTCCATTAACCTGTAGGGTAGAGCACAGCAAAGCATCTCAGGACTCATTTAATTATGCAGTCTGTCTGTCTGTCAATGCATCAGCGTGCCAGTCTCCACACCAGGTGACATGCAGGATTATAGAGGGAAAGGGGACAGCTTGCTGTGCAAGACAGAGCCAAAGCACATCTGGACCTGGCAGAACTAAATTCCTAAATTCTCCCCTCCTCTCTCCAAGAGTTGGTTCCTGGAGTTAGTGCCTGTATGCGTGGTGTACTCTCACGGCCCCAGGACGAGGGGCATTACAAAGAGCAACGAAAGGAGGTCCCATAAACAAACTTCAGGGGCGTCTGGGCGGCTCAGTTGATTGTGTCCGACTCTTGATCTCAGCTCAGGTCTTGATCTCAGGGTTGTGAGTTCAAGCCCTGCACTGGGCTCCGCACTGGGTGTGGAGCCTACTTAAAAAAAAAAAAAAAAAAATGGGGGCTCCTGGGTGGCTCAGTGGGTTAAAGCCTCTGCCTTTGGCTCGGGTCATGATCCCAGGGTCCTGGGATCGAACCCCACATTGGGCTCTCTGCTCAGCGGGGAGCCTGCTTCCTGCTCTCTCTCTGCTTGCCTCTCTGCCTCCTTGTGATTTCTGTCTGTCAAATAAATAAAATAAATCTTAAAAAAAAAAAAAAAAAGATATACTCTGACATTGCATTGCCAAAAAGAAGCCTGAAACTGTGACACTGGGTGTGGAGCTTAATCAAAAAACCAAAAACCAAAAACCAATGCTCAGGCCTCCTGTACCTCTGTAGAGTTAGTATCTCCCACAGAGCTTAGCTGTCTGAGAGACCCAGCCCCTAGCCCCACCACCAGCCTGGCCCTGGGGCACCTCCCCTCCCCCACCCCTGACAGACCAGGATGTCGCAGCAGGGGATACAGGGATAAAGGGTGGGAGAGGGAGTTGACAGCTTTCAAGTGGGAGAGTGGTCCCCTGGCCCACGGATCATGCACCACTTACCCACTCAGTGGTCTCATTTTCCTAATTTCAAAGAACTGGGTCCCTGTGTGATTGTATCTGGGTGAAGTATGTAAAGGGAAAGTGATAGAAAACTCCAAAGATCCCAATGACTCAGAGGGGAAGCCATGCATTGATTTCTCAAAGGGATGAGGAATGAGTAGTGAGGGGCTTTCCAGAAAGTGTCCAGTAACCACAAGGTAGCCAAGAGCCTCTTAATCCTTGCTGTCCTTCCCTGAAAATCTGATTTCTAACTTCAGCTTCAAAACACCTTGGACCTTTATAATAGCTATTTTCAGTCTGCTCTGTATTCTGTTTGTTGAATACATGTCTTAATTCACTTACCAGACTACAAGCTCCTTGGGAGTTAGGACCACTTATTTATTATCTTTATATCCTCCACAAAGCCTGGCACAAGTCCAACATATTCCAGTTAGCAAATGTTGTTAAATGAATGAGGAATAAGTGAATAGATGGGTGGACAGATGGATGGACAAATGGGTAGGTTGGCGGAAGGGTGGACGGGATGAAGGGAAGGAAGGATGGATGAATGGAATTGATGGGATGGAAAGGTGGGTGGATGGATGTATAGATGGATGGATGGTGGGTAGATGGCAAGAATGAATGGAATGGAAGGGTGATGGATTGACAGGTGGATGGATGGATGGATGGAGGAGTAGAGGTGGATGGATGGACAGATGTATGGATGGAAGGGAAGGATGATGGATAGAAGGGTGGGTGGATGGATGGATGGATGGATGGAATGGATGAAACGGAAGGGTGGATGGATGGGTAGGCAGCTGGGTGGCTGGATGGACAGATGGATGGATGGAAGGAAAGAATGATGGATAGAAGGGTGGGTGGATGGCAGTAGGTTTCTCAATAGTGTCCTGTCTCTGCAGCAAAGCTTACTGTAGACATCACCGTCATTTCACTGGACTGATACTAGACAATGGTTACTAAGTCTGAGAAGATGACACTATTACCCACAACTTGGGATTTGGCTGGTTGCCCAGAAATGTAAGGGACTGGCAATCCTGTGCCAGGTCATTCTGAAGGAGACCAAAGTTTTCCTGATGCCCTGCTCTCAGACTAGATTTTGATTTTTTTCAGAGCCTAAAGAAGAGTTGCTTTACACATTTCTCTTCCCTACTTCAAGCAAAATCCTATAGAAAAAAAGCACGTGGTGGGAAGGTGCTCATGAATGAAGACCTTGTAACATGCGGGGGTGGGGGGGGTAGGAGAGTAGATGTGTGATCCTATTGTGGTACAGGCAGTGGCAGTAGGGGGCGCTGAGCACCCTCCCAAGGAGGGTTAGGATCCCTTCCTGGCACAGAGATGCCTAGACACTCAGACACAAGCTCGCATAACAACTACGGGGTGGGGGATGGTGTCATTATAAATAGACCCTGGGCCCCACCTCTGGAGACTCCAACTTCAGGCCATGGTCCTAACCCTCGATGTCATTAAGAGTCACCCTACCCTGCCTTGGACTGCTGTGTTGGAGGTTCCAGGGTGACAGCTGGAAGATGATTTTAACAAGCTCACCAGGCTGGAAATGATCAGCTCAGGCCATAAGAAGAGCCCATCACCGTATATAGGCTTGCCCAGCTTTTGAAAAATACAATATAAAAAATCTTTGAGGGAAAAGAGAAAAATGAGGGACTACGTATCCTCATGGTAAAGCGATTTTTTTTTACTTGACCAAAGATTTCATTCCAACCATGAGATTCTTGGTATATTTAAAGTAGAATTCAGTGGGCCAAAATTCTACTTGAATGCATAACTTTCTCCCTGTTCATACATCTAGTCTGTACACCTAGTGTGTAAGGTGAGACAAACCCATAATAAAATAACAAAATATTGCCTGGCCTTGCTTTCTCAGTTCCTTACAGTTTTGAGACCCAGAAAGTGAGTTGGGAGAGTGGAGGGAAGGCTCTTGTAAACGTTGCCTTCAGAGTGAGGGACTTACTGAGCCCGAGCTGACCCTCAGAAAGCCTCTCCTCATGCAGCAGAGATCAGGGGGCATCTGTCTTTCCTGAAGCCCATGCTTCTGGGCCAACAACCTGGTTATTCCAGATAACGTTATGGGGTAGCGTCAGCATAACTTTCCCATGCGCTGGGAAACCAAAGAATTCATTGGACTCGTTTTATGGTCGTATTTGCTCTCTTGCAATGGTCTGGAACAGAACCTGCAATGTCTCGGAGGTGTGCCTGTGAAGGTCTGCTCAGAAGACAAAGAGGTCACGCTCTGTCTTCTTTGTGCAGTGGCTCTGCCGGCCAGGGGACCAAAGGGCACGATCCCAGCAGCCTGCGGCATTTTCCCTTTTCCGGCCCTCTCTGTGGTCAGTGATCTAGGTCAGTGACCATCGTTATGGGTCAGAGAAGAAAATGAAAAAGCAGATCCTTCAGGCAAACTGTGAGAAGTTGGCTGAGAATGTACTGTAGGGTTTCCGGGCGAATGAACGAATGTAGTGCCCGTGCACATTCGCCCCCTATCAGGGAATTCCCAACATTCCCTTTCATCTCTGGCTGCCTGATCCTTGTGAAGATCATGTCCTAGATAGAAGTGGGGAGCTGTTGTAATTTCTGTCCCCTTCTAGAATGTTCTGTGAGAAGTCAGTCACACCCAGGAAGGCCTGGCTCTTGGGGCCCAGGGCTATCCTGGCGGAAGTTTATACTATGTTCCCCAGGGGTCCCAGTTTGGGGGTCAGCACCAATAGCTGATAGCCGGCTCAGGGTTAGGGTCAAGCTGTTGGCTTCAGCCCTGAAGGCTGGTGCCACCTCGCCCTCTACTATGGCTTCAGGATTCCACTGGGAAGATGCCATGCAAGGGAGACGATTGCCTGTGAAGTGAGAACTGAGAGGCTAATGACGTAAGCTGCCTATCCAAATCAGTAGCGATTGGTGTTACTTCCCTCTGGTATGCCCCTCCCTTCAGCGAGGACACAAAAATCCACGGGAAAGATCCCTGCATATAGCACAGAGAGGAAGGGCCTCTTCTGGGGCACGCGGGACAAGTGTGCAGTGCCCCATGAAATCCTTTCTGCTGAATTCTATGTCTTTGGGGACAAAGGACAGAGGTCAGCAGAGAACTGACCTCTTGGACAATGTGCTGGGTGTTAGGGCATCTGATGCTGTCTTAGTGCTGAGATGTTCACGGACGCAGGCAAACGGTCTGTCCCTCTCACAGACGCCTCTGACAGTCCAGCTCACGTTCCTAGCTTGAAAAATTCCTAGCCCTGAAAACAATACCCGCAGTGGCCTATGAACCAGCCACCTCTGCTCCTTTGTTCTTATAGTGTTGCTGGTGCGGGGCCACAGAACAGATCTAACTAACCCCGGCCACAAGCAAGCCAAGGCCACGGGCAGAGAGAAGGACGAGAGTCAGACTGGTCTGAATTCAGCCTGCCCCTGCAGGGCTCCTCTGTACTTCTCCAAGTTCACATGAGGGGAGAGGACCCCCATCCCAGGGCTCCATTTCTTCCTGCAGACGGGAGCAAGGCTGCTGATCTGGGGCTCCTGAGGAGCCAAAGGCAATGAATGCCAGGTGGGTCTACTACAGACTATGAGCAGTCATGCTGGAGGCAGAAAAGTCAGAAAGGAAAGAAAAAGAGCTGAAAAAAGGCCAGAAGGGAAGAGGGAGAAGACGGACAGTAGAGGAAGAGAGGCGGAGGGAAACAAAGACGACGAAGGAAGGGAGAGGGGAAGGGGAGGAAGGAAGAGGGACTCCGGGCGGCCACTGCTGCCTCAATGTGCCTTGCCCTCCCAGCCCGCACCTACCTAACAGGGTAAAGGTCTGATCATGGCGAGTACATTCCCCCATAATCATGCCTTCCAGACTCACACGGGGGCACTCCTCTATGTCCGGCCTCACCAACCTTAGGGAGGATTTGCTGACCAGCCAGGGACAGACCTGCCACGAGGCTCGAGGTCACCACGCCCGTCCCCGAGGGGTCCGCCCAGACCCTGGTTGGAAGGATACTGTAGTGTCTTCATGTAGGTCTGGATTGCCTGGAGCCAGTCTGGGATCGTCATCGACAGCCTGTAGTTCGGAACCTGTGGCACTGAAGGCTGCAAAGCAGTAGAGAGAGAAGTCTTTATCGAGGAGATGCAGCGGGCACAGCGTCTGCGGGCAGCCACGGGGCGGGAAGCACAGCAGGCGGCGCCCGCACAAGGTCTCCCCAGACCACGGGGTCCCTCGTCGGAGCTCTGCTCTGCATACGCTCTGTCCTGGGGCACCGCGGCTCTCTACGGCCCTCTGTGTTTTGTGAGTGTGAACGCAGCCTGCCTCCCCACGGGGGCCTCAGCGTCGTCTCCTCGAAGCCAAGGACGCTGTCTGTAGTGTCCCCCACTCGGCCTGGCCCAGGGTGTTCACAGGCGCGCCTCAGTCACCCTCACATTTTTACCGCATGGCTGCACCTTTTGCTGCATGGTTACTCTGACCCATTATACTCCGGGACACCACCGAATGCAAGACCTACGGTGCCCTGCACTTGATATTAGCCAAAAGGCCGAGAAGCGATGAGACCTATGGTGCCCTGAAGAAATGCAACCTGGTGCCACACGTGCCTTCGGTCCTTAACGCCATGCCCATCGCGGCCCCTTCCAGAGTCTGGCCCAGTGGATTAGCAAAGACCCCCCTCTGGCCGTGACTCTCCCCACGTAAGGGCAGCCTGTCTGACTCACGAGCCATCTTACCCTTTTACCCCTCAGAGCTGCCCAGGCACCTCTTTTCCTCGCCTGCCCCTTGGTCAGCACCCACCGAGTGTCTACGACTGAGCACACGAAGCTCTAACCACCACCGGGAAGAGAAGAGAACAGCAGGTGACACTGGGGTGGTGGGGGAGGGAATTGCCTCTTCCCAGGAGTTTAGAGCTAAGATGCCAGCTCTGAGACACCAGGCAGCTCTGAGCACTGCGGCCAACGAGGCCAAAAGGGAGCACAAGCAGGAGCTTCTCACCCAGCCCGTCTCTTCCTGGGATGCAAGGGACGGCATGTGCTTTCCTCCCCCTGTGTGCGTCTCAGTCCCCGAAGCTTAGCCTCCGGCGGGGCGGGGCTGGACGTGACAGAGACACTCTGTCCCCATGAGCCTGGGGCTCTAGGAGAGCTGCTGCCCCGAAGGAAAGGAAAGGCTCCTCCAGGCATAAGCCACTTAGGGAGGAGCAGAAGGGGCCGCAGGGCCGATTAGTTCATCCTCGAGAAAACAGGGAAAGAGAGGCCCTGGGGATTTAGTGCTTAGCTGACGGACGGTGAAGCTGCTGGTGGAGAGACTTGGGGACAGTGCTGGGCCGCCTGGCTGGGCCCCAGGGACAGACACCGTCGAAGGGCATGCTCTGGCTCTCTCCCTGCTCTCCAGGCTCGGGCCCCGCAGCGACGTGGGAGGGTGCCCTGCCCCGGGGCCTGTGGCGGGCCCCTTCCCTACTTCTACACCTTTCACACCTTCCACAAGTTTAGCTGCATTTACTAAAAATGCTACCTGACATTCGCTTCCCCTCAGTGCTTCTCTTTTCTCTTGGCTTTGCAACTTTCTACTTCGCAGCAACTGCCCCTTCAGCAGAAAGGAAACTAATCACACATCCTACTTCACAGCCAAGGTACTGAGTGTGTGTGTGTCTGTGTGTGAATGTGAGGGTGTGTGTACACACACACACACACACACACACACACAGAGCTGTTCTGTAAACTACATTTTGTTTACAACATATCCACTCAAATCACATTTCTGTCTTGGAGAGTGATTTTGGGGAGCAGAAGTTTCCAATGGGACCATTCGCTCACGTGACCCTGCCCCGTGCGCAGGTGTGCGTGCACACTGAGGAAATGTATTATGTATTATGAAATATTTCCTTGTACGGTTGTCCTTATAAACACTAGAAGCGTCAATCTTGTCCTTGCTTTTGCAGTAACATCCACGGATCTACCCATACCTGGAATTCTGTGTAAGGACGTGCCAGAGACGCCACGGAGAAGTGAGGAGAGAAGGGGAGATGTGACAAAACATTTCTTTAGCACCTGCTATGTTCCAAGCTCTAGGCCAGGGACGGGGGAACACGGAGATGGAGGAAGGACAGAGGGGAATGAGACAGCATTTCTGCACAGAAAAGTGCTGTTTGATTCTATTTAATACAAAAGATGGTAAAAGCATGCGGAAATAACCCCAAAGAATCGCCAATCACCTAACGGATCCTCAGAGGGGTGTCCCTTGGCCAGAGCCCTGCCATAGCCAAGGGACTTGGTTCAGAGGTGGCTGTGGGGACCAACCACCAAATTATTTCAACTCCCCCCAAGCCCAGCAGAGCCCACAAGACCCAGATGGTGGGGAGGGAAACAGGCAGCAGCTGGTCCTCAGAAGAGCAGCCCGGTGGCGCCCAGAGGCTTTTAAAAACAGCTGCCCGGTTACCTCAGACCCGGCTGAGTGTGCGCGCAGGAGCTGTGGCCACATTCCACCAGCCCCAGCTGGGGAGCAGGGCTGCGAGGGGGAGAGGAGCTGGGACAGCTGAGGGGCTGATGTCATCAGGCTACAACTCACCCTGCTGTCTGGGACGGCTGGCTGGGGCTCAGGCTGGCGGCCAGCTCCCAACCAGCACCTCAGGCCACCAATGCCCCCACAGGACAATGCACTGTACAAACCAGGCAGGCTCCTTGGCTGCTAATTATGAGACAGACACCAGATCCAAGTCCCTGGTCTATCACCTACTCGCTATGGAGCCTGTCGAGCTCCATGACCTCTCTAAGCCCATTTCTTTCTTGATAAAATAGGAAACTATCACCTACTTCAAACCGTCCGGGCGGGTTGTGAGGATTGTAGGACCTAATGTACAGAGCTGGCAACTTGGCATTGGCGCTTGGTACTCTGGAAGAGCTGGCTATGTTAGTCTTCATTACTGATGTGTTTTCGGGATCTAGCCTGGGGAAGCCGGGACGGTCTGCACTTTCCTGGAACTAGAAGACAGAGTCAGCAGGGCCTGAGTCTCTGCACTCTCGACGTGGAACATCGCAAAGATGCCTTCTCACCCCAGTGGAAGAGGAGAACACGGTCACTTCCCCCTGCAGACACTTCTTGACCAGGAGCTAATATCCTTCATTCATGAAAAGTTCATTCAAAGTTTTAAGAAAACTCTTCAGGAGCCCCTGGCTGGCTCATCAGTACAGTATGCAACTCTTGATCTCGTGATCATGAGTTCAAGCCCCACATCGAATGTAGAGGTTACTTAAAACAATAAAAAATAAAAGAAAACTCTTTGGTCTTTAATGAAAAAAAAAATGTCCCAAAAGGTAGAAGCAACCCAAATGCCCTTTGACAGGTGAATGGATAAACAAAATGTGGTATAGGGGCACGTGGCCGGCTCAGTCAGTAGAGCGTGTGACTCTTGATCTCGAGGGTCAAGAGTTTGAGCCCCATGTTGGGCATAGCTTATTTTTTAAAATATGGTATATACATACAATGGAATATTATTTGGCGTTAAGAAAGGACATTTTGAGGGATGCCTGGGTGGCTCAGTTGGTTAAGCCGCTGCCTTCAGCTCAGGTCATGATCCCAGAGTCCTGGGATCGAGTCCCGCATCGGGCTCCTTGCTCGGCGGGGAGCCTGCTTCTCTCGCTGCCTCTGCCTGCCATTCACCCTGCTTGTGTGTACTCTCTCTCTCTCTCTGACAAATAAATAAAATCTACAAAAAAATAAAATAAAATAAAAATAAAATTTTAAAAAAGGACATTTTGACACAAGCTACATGATGAACCTTGACACAAGCTACAACGTGATAAACCTTGAGGACATACTAAGTGAAATAAGCAAAACACAAAAGGACAAATACTTTATGATACCTCTTACACCGTCATCCCCCTTTACCCGCGGGGCATACACTCTGAGACCCCCCACAGATGCCTGAATCTGCAGATAGTGCCAAGCCCTAAATATACTGTTTTTCTCCCCATGCATACATATACCTATGATAAAGTTTCATTTATAAATTAGGCCTGGTAAGGAGATTAAAACAATCAGTAAAATAGGACAAATATAACAACATACTGTAATAAAAATTATGTGAATATGATCTTTCTCAAAATCTCTAATTGTAGTATATTCACCCTTCTTGAGATAGGAGGTGATGAAATGCCTACGTAATGAGACAAACCGAGGGGAATGACGTAAGGCATCGTGACCTGGCGTTAGGTTACTGTTGACCTCCTGACCAAAGGTCAGAAAGAGGATCGCCTGCTTCCAGAGGGCAGGGAACCATGGATGACCGAAACCGTAGAAAGCGGAACAGTGGAGAAGAGGTGCCAACTGTCTGAGGCTCCCACAGCAATCAAATTCATACAGACAGAAAGCCCAAGGGTGGTTGCCAGGGACTGAGGGGTGGGAGGAAGATGGAGTTAGCGTTGAATAGGTACCAAGTTTCAGCCAGGGAAGAAGGAAAACTTCTGGAGATGGAACACAACAGTGAGAATTACTTAATGCACAGAACTGTACACTTAAAGGTGGTTAAAATGGTAAAATTAGGTTATGGATATTTTACCATAATTTTAAAAACAGTCACGAAAAGACAATTCACAAAAAAAGTGAATAAATATTCAAAAAAGAATTTCAAGCTCACTAATAATTTAAGAAATGCAAAGTAAAGGGGTGCCTGGGTGGTTCAGTGGGTTCAGTGTCTGCCTTCGGCTCAGATCATGATCCCAGGGTCCTGGGACTGAGTCCTGCATCGGGCTCCCTGCTCAGAGGAGAGCCTGCTTCTCCCTCTCCCTCTGCCTGCTGCTCCCCCTGCTTGTCCTCTCTCTCTCTCTCTCTCTGACAAATAAATAAATAAAAGCTTAAAAGAAAGAAATGCAAAGTAAATCCACTGCAACATGCCATCTTCACCTCCAAGTACAGCTATTCTGAAATGTGGACACCTAATGTTGACGGGGATGCTCTTAAAAGGCACAATGGGAACATAAATTGCTACAACCTTTTTATAAAATGCGCTTGGCACACTCTTTTTTTATCTTCTCCTCCTGGACAGACCCTAAGAGTCCCCCCTCATGTTATTTCCCCTGTTTCACCTGAAACCCCAGCCTAGATTTTCCACGGCCCTTCCCCTCAAGGTTCCTGCCGCCTGCCACCGGCCACCAGCCCCTCAAGTCACAGCCCAGCTGATGAAGGCGGAATCCAGAGGGAAGAGGTCAAAACCAGCCTCTCTACACAGGCCTATGGTCTGGGGCCCTGGGTGGTGGGGGGCAGGAGGAAGGAATGGGCTGGATAGGAAGGTAATTGTTCAAGAATACTGAAAGGAACCACAGGCAAGGCTTCTGTGGTCAGGCTCCTTCTCATCCCATTCTCGGCAAACAGAATCACCTGTCCAAAGAATGCAGGGAGAAATGATGTCAGTGGACACAGGTGTGCAAATGGCATCCCCATAAGCAAGAGCAGCAGAAAGGCAGAAAAGGAAGCAAGGAGGCAAGCCAGAACACTGGGCACCAGGAATCTTTAACCAGAAAGAATGAGAAGAAAGCAAAACCTTTTGCTGTCCCCGCTCTGAAAGAAACAGGTACCTGTGCAGACACACCAGGCAACTCGGAGAAGCAGCACAGAACATCCCTCACCAGCCCAGAATGGAGCCCAGGCCTCTGCGTCAAGGGCAGCCAGGACCCTGTTGAGGGTGACCTGGTATGGAGCTCTGGGGGGGTCTCAACCTTGGGCCAAGCAGGAAGGACAGACCATGGTTCCAGAGGCAGGAGCATGCTGCCTGTGTGAGCTAGCAGGGGGCAGAAGGGGGCCCTGACCGCAAACTCTACCCACACAGTCTCACACCTCTCTGCTCAGGCAAAGCTGAGTCCTCGAAAAGTGAATTCTTTCCCGATTTAGAACCGACATGAGAATGAGGCACGAAAACTTGGGGTCTTTAAGAAACTGTTTCCTGCTGAATCCACTCTGGCTGCCCCTTGGAGAGGTCAGCTCAGCCGGGAGAGAAGCAGGAGGAGCGGTTTCCTAGCATACCTTGCTGTCTTTTCTGGGCCAGCCACTCTATCTGCCTCTCCCTTCTCGTCCTTTATCATCCTCCAACTGACTCCGCTGCTTTTTCGTACTTTCTGTGAAAAGCCCCCGCCTTCACCTAGTCAGCTGCTGACTTGGACCCAGTAACCACCAAGGGCGAGGCCTGCAGTCACACATTTAAAAGGAGGCTTGCAGAAGGGGTGAGCCCCCAGACCGCTGAGCCCCTCACCTCCCACTCCCACCCCCGCCCAGGTAGAGGGACCTGGACCTGTGGGCAGAACTTCCCATGGCTGTTCACAAAATGTCCTGCAAAGAAGTATCATTCGGTCCTCCTGTTAAATCTCTCGTACCTTCCCCTGTCCTCCTTTGCTTCTTAGTCTATATCCAATTGCCAAAAAAGATTAGCCTCCCTGAAACTCTCCAACCCTCTACCACTGCCCCACCACTCCTCTTTTTTTCTTTTTTTAAATTTTATTTATTTATTTGACAGAGAGAGAGATCACAAGTAGGCAGAGAGGCAGGCAGAGAGGGAGGGGGAAGCAAGCTCCCTGTTGAGTAGAGAGCCCGATTCGGGGCTCGATCCCAGGACCCTGAGATCATGACCTGAGCCGAAGGCAGAGGCTTTAACCCACTGAGCCACCTAGGCGCCCCCACCACTCCTCTTCTATACAAAGTCCTCAGCAAGACACTTACTAAAGGAGAAAAGGACACAGACCCAAAGAAAAAAGTCTGCCCAGCTGAGAGCAAGAACAGCCCTTGGACTGTTCAAAGAAGTGGTCCCTGGAACCAGAAGCTGTTTTGAAGCTGTTTCCCGTCTTAGGACCTAGGTAGGGGTCAGGGGTTGGGGAAGGTCAGGACCTAGGAGAAGGGGATACGGAGATGGAGTCAGAGAACACGCTATTATGATGCAACGTAAGAGAGAGAAATGTTAAGTTCAGGTTCAAAAAGCCAAGGTCTGCATTTGGCCTGGGGTTTTCCCGGCTTGGTGGGAGTTCTGCTGTGACTTCAGGTTGCTGTGAAAAGATAAGACGGTGTGGTTGCTATGTAAAAAAGGGAACTTTTTTTTTTTTTTTTTAAAGAACACATCATTCAGCCACAATAATGGAAACATCAGGTACGGGTCTCAGGGGAAAGTAATCTGTGTTTTAAACCACTCAGACAACATGGAGAATATTGTGCTTCGTAGGTGCTTATTTTAAAGGACCGACTGCTGACAAACTAGCAAATGTCCTAGAAAGAGGGTGAGGAGAGTGCTTTGATCTGGGAACTGTGACACTAAGACACAGTGAAAGGAGCTACGTGAGGACAAAGAACTAAAGGAAGATGCAGAATGACGGAAGGTCACGGTCCTGAGGACTTGTTCTAAGTCAACTCTGTTGTCACACAGCTCAGCATTGGAGATATGGAGACACGTGGGTCATATCATCAAGGGACTGAAGAGCTGGAAGGAACTTGATATGAAATCTTGTCGATTCCCATTTTACAGATGAGAAAACTAAGGCCAGAGTTGTTGTTGTTTTTTTTTTTAAGTGAGTGACTGAGTCCACAAAGCCAGAGGCAGCACAACCAGGACTAGAATTCAGTCCCTTGATTTTTACTCCAAGAAGGCTATGTCATAATATTCTAGGGAGCTATGAATCGCGAAGGAGGTAGGGGTGCGCTGCTCTGATTCAAAGGGCAACCCTTTGAATCATGTAACCCCATTAGTGGTCACATGGGGCTGAAGGTGAAAAAGGAGAATTTCTGTGCCACTGAAGACAAGAGTTTCCCAACCACCAACACCCAAATCTGGCCAGGCCCTGGGCGAGCTGCCCTGTGAGGTGATGAGCTCCCCATCCCCACGAGGTCTCTGGGAAGAAGAAGGGATTCTGCTGAGAAAGGAGAGAGCAGTCTCCATCAAAACAAACACTTCCTGATTCCTATGGAGAAAAGGGGTCTGCACACACAAGGCCAGGAGAAAGACAAAGCCACAGTTAGCAGTAGGGTCAGCGGTCGGGAGCTGAATTAGATTTGCAGCATGGGACAGCAGGAACAAGCCTCGGTCCCCTGTGGCCACCTCTCTTCCAGGGCTAAAGGGCTCCCAGGTCCTCCTTAAGTAAAGCAAGCCTCAGTCAAGTAAGGACAAAAATCTGACGTCAGAACTGCCAGCCAAGACCGGCGTCGTTCTCCTGCTCGAGGAAGGCCCGGCGGGGGTAAATCACAGCTGGCAACAAAGCAAGAAAGGTCCTCACTGGGCATAGTGAAGGGCTCCTTGACCTGCTGCAATAAAGCACTGACTGATGGCAACAGGAAGCTTCTGGGCCCTGTCACTCCCCCCAAGGGCACACGCAGCTCTCTGGCCTGCAGGGCTCAGATGCTCAGGTCACCAGATGCTCCAGGTTGGGGCCTCAGCCAGATGGCCTTTCAGGTCTCAGGTCTGGCATTCCTAGACCAGCCCAGAAATCTTCTCAGCCACACCAGTGTCCCCAGGGGGCAACGAAAACCATCTGCCATGCCATCACCCCCAGGCTCTGCAGCATTTCTCCGCAGCTTGCTTTCTGAGGTCCCATAGAGTGACCACCACATATCTCCCTCCCTCCGTCTAACTATATCCTTGGCCACCAGACTCAGTCTGCTTGCTGGCTTCTTTCCAAGGTAGAAAGAGTTTTGCTCCTGAGCCTCCATCTCTACCCAGGGAGACTAATGCATCATGTGCACTGGAAAGTCCCTTTTAAGCAATAGCCAAAACTCTTCTTTTTTTTTTCTTTCTTGGAGCTCAGATAAGCTGAGAAAAGAAACAGTTCACTGCTTTGCAAGTTTCAGAGGTGAAAGTCACTGTCATGAAAAAAAGAATTGGCAAAAAGTCTAGAAATGATTCACGCTGAGAAGTCTGACTGGTTGATTACAAAATTCATTCACAGCCTGATAAATCATTTGCAAGGGCGAGACAGGGAAGGACTTAGAGTCTCCAAAGAGGAAAAGTAGGGTGGGATCCCTGGCGGTGGGGGGGGGGGGGGTCTCAGCGTTCTTGGCAACACTGGTGTTACCTGGTGGCTACCAGGTGGCTTATAGCTTTTGCTGGAGGAGGTGATGGGGGTAGCAAACAGAGTTTGGCTGGAGATTCAAAGAACCCTTGGCACCACCAGACCACACAGTCCCAGGACAGCAAGCCCTCCATCTCTCCCTCCCCCATTTCTAAGGCTTCCAAGACAAACCTCTCAATTAAGCAAAGGGGGTGGGAACCGGCCCGGAAGAATGGGGGAGCATAAGGGGGTCCAGAACCGGACCAGGAAAATGGACATTGCCTCTACTTGCTATGCAGATTGAAGTGTTCCCATCATTGCCCACCCCACCCTGTCCATCGAAGCCTCTGACCTTTGCCAAGAAGGTGGCGTTCCTGATGGCGCCCACCATTTCTCCCCCCTTGGGGTGCACCTTGGCCACGTGCATCCACATGCGCTCCCAGGTGTGGCTGTCGATGGGGAAGCCGCTCTTGTTAACGTGAAACAGCACCCCGCCGTCTTTGTCCTCCTCCTCCGAGCCCCCACTGGTGGCTAGGCTCACGGGCCGCGCGTGGCTGCTCCGGGACCGGGTACCTTTGGCGCCTTTGGGGTGGGGGCAGCGGTGAGTGTCGGCCGCGGAGCCGGTCATGGTGGGACCGGGGCGGGGCGGGGGTGCGGGGGGGGCGCGCGGCGGCGGCGGCGGCGGGGGGCGTGTGCGCGCGGGCGCTGCACGGGGATCAGCGCCCCGCGGGGTCGGCCTTCTCCATGCCTCTGGCTGCCGCAGGACGCGCGAACCGGGAGCGGCGGCTGGAGCTCCGCTTACGGGCCAAGCCTGAAATCAGTGGAGACACAGCACACACCACGGGTAAGTGGACACCAGAGGTGGGGCGCACTGTGTCCAACGGCGGTGGGGCCTCGGAGTGGCCCCGCGTCACTCCCCGCTCCCCCCCGCGCGACGACAGACCCCTCCAGCAATTGCCCATGAGCTTGCAGCCCTGCAATTTCCGAGGAAGGCGACTCGAATTTTGCCCCCAAGCTTCACACCCGCCCCCAGACACCCGGAGGGGGATCCACGGAGCGTGGAGGGTGCGGAGTGGACGGGTTGGGAGAAGAAAGACGGCTCGTGCTGCGTGAAGGAGCAGGAGGTCCCCGCAAGGCTCCACGCATTCCTTGGTGCCAGATGTGGCAGAGCGCCAGTCGCGCCCAGAACGTACCGGCACGTGAGCGCCCGAGATGCCGCGAGGGCGCAGCAGCAGCCTCGGCTTGCAAAGGCGGCCGCGTTTCGGCCCGGAGGCCCTCCCGGAGCGGGTGGGCGAGGACCGGCTGCGGCCCCCAGGCGCCCGTGCAAGTGGCGCCGCCCCCACCCCTCCCCGAGTTCCAGCGCCAGGCACCCGGGGGACTGGCTGCGGGCGGGGCGCGAGGCGGGCGCGCCGGAGCCCCCCGACCCTACCTCGGGCCGGCCAGGGGCCTCATGGCCGCGGAGCTTCTCCGGGCGGCGGGGGCTGCGGGGGCTGCTGCGGCGGCTGCGGGTGCTGGGCCTGGGCCTGGGGCTGCTGGGGCTGCTGCGGCTGCCGGGGCTGCTGCAGCCGTCGCCTCATTCCATGTCCCATTCTCGAATGTTATTCTGTGACATATAACCGAGTCACCCGGGCGGCCGCCGATGTTCTGAACGCGTCCATTGGCCACCGCAACAAAGAGGGGCGGGTCCCGGGCTCGGGACTCTACAACCGGGAGCTCCGCGACGCTCTGATTGGCTCCGGGGATTCCCGGGCAGGAGAGGAGAGGAGCAGGGGGAGCTGGGCGGCCACGCGAAATCCAATCGCAGCCTTGTCCTGGGAGCCCCGCGGGGCTGGAGCGTTTGTCCGTGGGACATAAGACCGAGTTTCCCCAGGGATGGTGGCCCTGGGAAGGTGTGCAACTGTGGGAAGCAGAGGAGAAACAAAGCCACCCAAGAAGTGACCCCAAGGTGTGGGAGGGCTTGTCCTTAGAACTTCGTTCCCTGAGGAAGGCTGGACAGTCACCTGCCCCTGGCAGGGAGTGATGGACGGTTTAGGCAGGGGCTGTCACACGAAGGCACAAAATTAATTTTTTTCTTTTTAATCTCACATTACAGATTTTCCAAATCCAACGAGGGGGCACACACAGCATGTACCTTCTGACACTGGTCTTGATCAATAAATTCCTTTTGGACCCATGCTGACATGCGCTGGGCCCAGGAGGTCAGCCAGGCCCCAACTATTCTCTTACAGTTTGAGTTAGAGCAGGGGCTGGAGAATTACTTGAAACCATGGCGAAGTGGGAGCCTTTCCACACTCTCCACAAAATATTTTTGCCTTAAAGACGCCTTTTTCTCTCTCTCCCCTTTAAAAAACAAAAAAAACAAAAAAACACAAAACTTTATTTTATTTACTTTTGAAGGGGCGGGGAAGGGGCAGAGGGAGAGAGGCAAGCAGACTCTGCACTGAGCAGGGAGCCAGATGTGGGGCTTAATTACCCCACAGGGAGATCATGACCTGAGCTGACATCAGGAGTCCATCGCTCAACTGTCTGAGCAACCCAGGTGCCGCCCCTCTCCCATTTTTTTTTTTTCCTTAAGAGAAAGTAAAAAACAAAAACAAAACAAAAAAAAAACCACCTGAGATAGGAAGAGCACCATACTGGACACCAAAAGTCCAGGTTTGTCACTTGGCTAAGCTGTGTGACCCAGGACAAGCCACTTGCCTGTTCTATGCCTTAACTTCTCTTTCTGAAAAGAGGGCAGTAGGATACCGCTCCCCCGAATACAGACACACACACACACACACACACACACACACACACACACACACACACACTGGAGGTCTATTCTGGCTCTAAGGTTCTCTGATTCTCTGGTTTCCTCTCTCAGGGACACTTTAGAAAGTGGCCATAATATCTTTTCTCTTTAAATTCTGTGCCTGTTTTGGGAGGGTAAGCAGTTGTGATAGCAATGCTAAGTTAACCTGGAATTAAGAACATAGTCATCGAAGAGCCACTGGTGGTGGAGGGCACGGTGAGTGGCCGGCGCCCGCAGAGGCCCTGGAGTACAGCTGTGAGCCAGGGCCTAGGCCAGGAGACCTGGTTCTGGGCAATGAAAACAATAATGTAGGTCCATTCAGACAACAAGAAGTGAACCAATTCAGAAAACTGTCTGAATGATGCAAATGAAACAGCACCCTTGAAAAAAAATCAGGAAACTGAAAGAAAATTATCCTCTCACCATACAATTGCTTCAGGTTTCATTTCTCTATTGAAAGAACACACGCCTCAGGGAGTGATCTGCTCTCATCTTGAACATCCTTCCCCTGCTCCCTCCCCTCTCCAGTCTGCCCCCTCTCCTCACTTCCTCTGAGTTTTAAGTCTCGGAGGCAACATGAAGATGAGGACCTTGTGCCCAGGATGCGAATTTGGCCTCACAGTCCCGCAGGAGAAAATGGAGCTCTCAAAGCCCAAATGATCAGTTGGCAAAAATCGAAGAACGTCTGGCAAGTTTCACCTTCCTTGGCATCAATTCCCAGTGTCCCACTCAGGCCAAGTCCAAACAAGTACAATTACCCTGTTATACCAGGGCCTGGGTCCTGCTGTGCCTGAATCAAATCCTATGGACCAGAGAGGTTTATCAGTTCTTGTTGCTGCTCCAGGCACCCCGGAACTCCCTGACAGTTGGGGGGAAAGCATTTGTTGTTCATCTCCCAAATTCCAGCTGTCCGTTCTCTTCTTCCCTGGGGCGGGGTGCCGTAGGGACCCAAGTGACATGGCATATGAAGAGAGCTAGGAGATTTGGCTACTTTTCCTGAAAGGTGATAAGAAGGCTTCTGAACCGAACCGTGCCGTCCCAGTGAAGGACTGAGAGACAGAAGGCCCTTTTGTTGAGAAATGTTTTGCATTACAGAACTGTGCTCATTGCATGGACCAGCCAGCTCTAGTCTTCATTTCCTTGTGTACTTAGTGTTACATAACACTGAACCCAGGCCAGACAGATGATGGGTTTTGAAAGTTCAAACCGTAAGGGTGGCGTGGTCATATAGACACACACAGTGGGACCCAGAGCCAACTTGTGATTTGAACAGGGACACATGGTGACTAGATGCTCAGCCTCTGAGAGCATGGTCACTGCCGTCTGAGGGCATAATGACCGGACTAGCAGACATGTGTAGTGGAAGGTTTGGAGCAAGAAAAGCGGGTCAATAGTGTTTCCTTTTTCAAGTGCCAGTTGCTGGGGTCTCAGAGGTATTTCAGACAAAATCCCACCTGAGGGTCCGTATATCTAGCTCCAGCACTTGTTGATGTTAATAGCGTGGTTAATAGCATGGGATCGAACACACCTTGGTTAGAGTCGCCTTTCTCCGGGCTCCATGGCTGCCTCCGCAGCCAGCCCGATCGGTTCAGCCATCTGGAAGGGACCAGTCACCTGCCCCAGGCAGGACCCTCTTGGTGGCTGCTGCACAGACAGGCTGGCCAGCCCCACGTGCGGATGGACTTCTAGACTCAGAAGGGGCTGGATGATGCCTCTTTTTTTTTTTTTTTAAAGATTTTATTTATTTATTTGACAGAGAGAGATCACAAGTAGGCAGAGAGGCAGGCAGAGAGAGAGGAAGGGAAGCAGGCTCCCTGCTGAGCAGAGAGCCCAATGCGGGACTCGATCCCAGGACCCTGAGATCATGACCTGAGCCAAAGGCAGCGGCTTAACCCACTGAGCCACCCAGGCGCCCCTGGATGATGCCTCTTAAGGAATCAATTCCTTTCAATCGGTGAGAAACAGCAGGTGAGAGAGAGCTGGGCTGGTAAGTTCATTCTTCATCCTCCCTTTCTGTGGACAACTCGGAGGCGTGCTTTTCCAGCAGAGCCTGTCTGGAGATGTCCCCCGCGGCTGAGCACACATCCCTACTGAGTGACCAGCCTCGGCTCTCGGCAGCTGGCCGTGACGCAGCCACCAGTGTGAGAACGTCCCACCTTCCACTGCTGCTCATCCTTTCCTCTCCTGGTTCCCTCTCGTGCTCACTCTGGCTGCGTTCTCTGGCAGATTTGCACATTGCTTCAGATTCAGCTTTTCTAGGGAAACCGAGCTAAAACAATGGGTTCCACAAGTGGTTCTAGAAAGCAAGTGCTCAGGATGGATTTCAGGGTTATCTGGCCTCCCCATCTGAAATCGGTAGAACCCTTCGCTGGTGATAAGAGGGAAGGCTAGAGCTCTGATATGCGGGATCTCCGCACATTTCACATGTGTTTAATCGGGGTGAATTGGGTGGAGAGCAAGACATTAGGAGATCGAGTAGCTATGGCAAGTCCATCGGTTTGGAAACAATGATAATTATAAGGTATGAGAGACCTTGAACAGAAAATGACAGGCTCAGTGCCATTAATTACTTGTTCATGGAATGCTCTGAAAGCCAGAGAGCCTCCGCGGCAAGTTTAAGAGTCTTACTTCCTGCTGCATAAAATCAAACCCAGGACCTGATCACACAGGAGCAGAACTGCAAAGGATCCTAGATACATGGTCTTCGCAGGCTTCCATGTCAGGGTCAGAGGCCTGATAGGGAAAGAGTGGGACCCGGGGTCCTGGAATAGGGCTGTCTCAGTGGATGAAAGTTCTGGACCCTTCGAATCCCTTGTGAATGCTCCTGCCCAGAGAAAACCTCCTTCTCCTCGGC